CCCTTCATCAGAAAAGGGTCTGATGAAGGGTCTAGGCCCGAAACGTCAGGCTCTCTGCTCCTATGATGCTGCTTGGCCTGCTGTGTTCATCCAGCCCTGCACCTTGTTGTCTCGGATTCTCCAGCATCTGCAGTTCCTACTATCTCTGATTCTATTTGTATACCTTCTTTTGCAGCCATTGAAGTAATTTAGACATGATTTTACTGTTGTAAGAGGTGAACAACCAACTACTGCACAGCAAGGTGTCTTTGTTAATTATGAAGTTAATGAACAATATATCTTTATTAGTTTTATTCTTAGTATGTGGGTCATCACTGGTAAGTCTAGCATTTATTACCCAGTCTTCATAATCTGATAAGATTGCATACTTGCTAAGCAACTTCAGTGGCTGGTTTAAAAGTTATCCAAGCCTGTGTGGTTCTAGAGTCACATGGAGACCCAGAATGGGTAGCTTTGGCAGGTGTCCTTCCCTGAAGGGCCTGAATGAAGCTGCTGGAACATATTTTACAACGGCCAGACAGCCTCACGGTCACTTCAGCTAGGATCAATTTTTTTATATTTCTCATTTATTTAAAACTGAGTTTAGGCTGCCCATTGAGGGATTTGAATCGACATGCTAATGGACTATTAGGACAGTAACAACACTGTCGCATGACTGAAGTCCATCCAATAACATTTGCAGATGCTGATGAGTTGTATTGCCTTTGTTTTGCTAGGTCACTGTGCCAGGAAATACACACAACACAGTTCTCAAGAGCCTGAGCCCGGATACACCTTACGAAGTGACAGTGGTTCCTGTCTACAGCGAAGGCGAAGGTGCTCGTAGGTCGAGTACTGGGAGAACATGTAAGTGCATTGTCATATCACAGCCTAAAAAAATCTCAGATAGTTTGTTTTTCATCAGGTCTAAAGCTGGGAGGCTTAAAACAGAGCTTAGAAGAAATGACGTCTCTCAAAGGGTTGTGAATCATACAATCATAGAATAATGGTTAGCATTGCTGCCTCACAGCGCCAGGGACCCAGGTTTGATTCCAGCCTCGGGCGACTGTCTGTGTGGAGTTTGCGCATTCTCCCCGTGTCTGTGTGGGTTTCCTTCGGGTGCTCCGGTTTCCTCCCACAGTCCAAAGCTGTGCAGGTTCGGTGGATTGGCCATGCTAAATTGCCCGTAGTGTTCAGGGAGGTGTAGATTAGGGGGATGGGTCTGGGTGGGATTCTCTGAGGTTCGGTGTGGACTTATTGGGCTGAAGGGCCTGTTTCCACACTGTAGGGATTCTATCTATCTATGATAATCCCATCAGTGCGGAAGCAGACCCTTTGGCCCATTGAGTCCACTGATTCTCAGAAAAGCATTCCACTCAGATCCGTCCCCTTACCCTATCCCTGTAACCCTGCATTTCCTATGGCTAACCACCTTGCCTGCACATCCCTGGGCACTATGGGCAATTTAGAATAGCCTAACCTGCGCATCTTTGGACTGTGGGAGGAAGCCCACACAAACACGGGGAGAATATGCAGACTCTGCACAGACAGTCGCTCAAGGGTGGAATCGAACCCAGGTCGCTGGCGTTGTGAGGTAACCACTAAGCCACCGTGGCACTCATCTGTGGAATTCCCTACCCCAGAATGCGGTGGATGCCAGGACATTGAGTAAATTTGAGGCAGAGATAGACAGATTTTAGTTAGCAATGCGTTGAAGATTGTGGAGACAGGGCAGGAAAGTGCAGTTGAAGTCAAGAATAGACCAGCCATGATTATATTAAATGGTGGAGCAGGTTCGAGGGGCTGAATGGCCTACTCTTGCTCCTAGTTTTTATGTTCTTATGTTAACTGCTCAGTGATGAATTTTCAATTCCTGGAATGTGGATATCACTGAAATGGTTGGCACGAATTGTGTATCCCTCTCGCTGTTCTTGGATGTGTCAATGTGGGCTTTCAGGTTGAGCCACAGCAGTGTATGTAATGAAGGGAGTCTCAGCATTCTGTTCAGAAGGGAAAGTGCATTCCAGCCATCCGCAGGCTGTGTCATACACAGCAGGCTGTCTATGTCTTGCCCAATTGACCAGTGTATCGGTCTAGACAGGTCATTTTTAGCTATCATTGCAGCTCAGCCCAATCTTGTTCTCAAAAAATGTTTGCAAAATGTCCCGACAGCCAAGAGAAAGATCAAATTGATTTTTCTTCTTCTGTAAACCTAAACCATCAAGGGACCATTGATTTCTTTATTATCGCTCCTCTATCTCACATTAGTAATGGGAACAATAGTCCTTTGACTGTGCAATGTATTCCTATAGGCCCACTTTGTGACCTCATTGTCCTGTCAAGGCACAACATTGGCGTTTGGAAACACAGAGATTACACGGAGTTAGCTATTCTCTCACCACCAACTTCTCAAGGGCAACTAGGGATGGGCAGCAAATGGCGGCCAGCCATAGGCATGACCCACAAGCGCATAAAATAGAAAACTCTCCCTTCTGCATCTCGTCCGAGAAAACATTTACACCCAAAGTGTTGAGCGGTGTATGTATGTGTGTATGTGTGTGCGCGCGCGTGCGTGTGTGCGTGCGCGCATGTGTGTGCGTGCACATGTGTGTGTGTATGTGTGTGTATGTGTGAGTGTGTTGTGTACGCGTGTGTGTGCGTGTGTGTGTGTATGTGCATGCACATGTGTATGTGCGTGTGTGTGTGTGTGCGTGCGTGTGTGTGTGCACATGCGTGTGTATGTGTGTGTATGTGTGTGTGTGTGTGTGTGCACGCGTGCGTGTGTGTGTGTGCACATGCGTGTGTATGTGTGTGTATGTGTGAGTGTGTGTGTGCGTGTGTGTGTGCACGTGTGCGTGCGTGTGTGTACGTGTGCGTGCGTGTGTGTGTGTGTGCGCACGTGTGTGTGTATGTGAGTGTGTGTGTGTGAGTGTATGTGTGTATGTGCACATGCGTGTGTATGTGTGTGTGTTTCTTTGTATGTGTGAGTGTGCGTGTGTGTGTTTGTATGTATATATGTGTGTGTATGTGTATGTGTGTGTGTGTGTGTGTGCGCACATGTGTGTATGTGGGAGGGGGTTTAGTCCTTACATCTGACACTCTGTTCTTGCCAATTTCTGCCTGCATCATGAAGGTAATACAGTCTTTCTGCCTGTCTGTGTCCATGTGTAGTAGTCCGTGGGGCACCTGGAAATGTTCAAGTCTACAACCCATCGCCGAACAGTCTGAACGTTCGCTGGACCAGTGCACCAGGGCCTGTACAGCAGTACAGGGTGGTTTATGCACCACTGACTGGAACCCAACCCTCTCAATATGTAAGTAACCATCAGTCAGACATCAGTACAGTAACGAACATTTCCAACTGGTATATTTAGCCAACCTTCAGTGCCCTTTGTTATAACCTCAAACTAAAAGTGACTGCATAATCACTTTGGCCTCACCCATTGGCACTTTAGTAAGTGCGATGGATGAGTTGTACCACCTGGCTGCTAGTTCTCTGTGATCTGAATGCTGACTATGGGTTTCTGGGCCATGCCCCTTTTCTTTATGATTGCGTATGTGCTGATGTGGGTCTGTTGTTTGTTGTCCAGGCCGTGGTGTCCGGAAACATCAACAACGTGCTCTTGGAACGTCTGCAACCAGACACAAAGTATTCCGTCAACGTGGTGGCAATGTATGCCGATGGGGAAGGTGATCCGCAAACCACGGAGGGCCAAACATGTAGGTTTAGTAGCTGTTCAAACACCTCTAATTATATAGACCCATATGTATGTGTGTGTTATGTGTACCCCTGTGCATGTACTTGTGCATTCACACTCGTCCATGTGTCCATATGACTGTATATGTGTGTGCGTTGTGTGTGAATGTGTATCTAACTCCGATACAGCTATCAGGAATGGCTGATGAGGCAGGGGCTATTTTCTCTCTCTGAGGTTCAACTCTGATCAAAATATTTAAGAATTCAAAAACATCTGAGGGGATGGACAGTGTGCACAGTTCTAGATGCCATGTCAGAGGAAGAATGTGAACGCAGTTGAGAGAGTGCAGAAGTGGTTTACAAGAACTGTTCCAGGGATAAAAAAGTTTCAGTTCTGAGGCTACATTGAAGAATTTGGGACTGTTGTCCTTGGAGAACACAGACTAAAATAAGATTTGACAGATGTTTGCAAAATCATGAGCGGCCTGGATAGAGTAGATAGGGAGAAGCTGTTCCCACTCGGAAAAGGAACAAGAATGCAAGGGCACAGATTTAAAGTGATCTTCGAGAGAAGCAAGGGGGAAGTGAGGAAAAAGTCTTTCACTCAGTGTGTAGTTGGGGATGGAATGCACTGTCAGGAAATGTGGTAGAGGCAGGTTCTATTGAGGCATTCAAGAGAACATTGGATGGTCATATTGATAAAAATAACATGCAAGGGTAAGGGGAAAATGTTGGGGATTGGCACTAGGTACTGAGGCTTATTTAAAGAGCTGGAGCTGGCACAATGGGCTCAATGGCCTGTAACAATTCTCTGACATGTGGGGTATTATAACTAGGGGCCATAAAAATAAGATGATCATAAATAAATCCAATATGGAGAAACTTCTTTACACATAAGGAGTGGTTTGTGTGAGTTGAATATACTCCTATAATGGGAAGCTGGAAAAACACCTGAGGAGGAAAGCAATACAAGGATCTGGGGATAAGGTAATGAAGTGGGGGGTAGGTAGAAGGTGGTTTATGTGAGCAGATATACCAGTATAATTGGGATGAATGGCCTTTTTCTGTTGTGTAAATTGCACTTTGTGTGCACAATCACAATTGACATTTCTTTTCCCCCTGTCTGTGCAGTAACCCGAAGTGGACCCAGGAACATGAGGGTGTATGATGCAACGACCAACAGCTTGACTGTGAGCTGGGATCATGCTGAGGGTCCTGTTCAACAGTACCGGATTGTATACGCTCCCACTGTTGGAGATCCAATCGAGGAGTTTGTAAGTGCATGCTGCAATCCTTCCCCGAGATTCGGATCTTTGAATTGACATCGATCATTTTCAACCCCTTGCTCCATCCCTCTACAGTCAGCTTAGTTTATGGAATTCTCTATTTTCAGACCTTTGTTCCTGGAAGGCGAAACACTGTCACCCTGCAGCCCCTCACAGCTGACACTCCCTACAGAATAAGTGTAGTGGCAATGTATGAGGATGGAGATGGAGGACAACTGACTGGAGATGGGAGAACAGGTGATCATCCTCTCTTTGTTGCTGTGTGTAATTTTTAAAATTCTGTCTAGTATTTGTTGGCCATGTCTTTACAAAAAAAGGTACCAGTGTATATTCTTACGATTCACTTGAGAGCAGAAATGTTGCAGTGTGATTTGAACAGTACTGAGTGAGTGGGCAAATGCATGGCAGATGCAGTGTGATGTGGATAGCAAAAGTAGGATGGCAGATTATTATTTGAATGGCTAGAAATTGAGAGAGGGAAGTATTCAATGAGCCCTGGGTGCCTTGAGCAGCAGTCGCTGATAGTAAGCATGCAGGTGTAGCAGGCAGTAAAGCAGAAAATTGTTGCCTGTCATAACAAGAGGATTTGAGTACAGGAACAAGAAAAATTGCTGCAATTGTACAGGGCATTGATGAGGCCACATCTGGAATACTGTGTGCAGTTTAGATCTCCTCATTGAGGAAGGATGTTCTTGCTATGGAGGGAGTGTATCAAAGGTTGATCAGACTGATTCCTGGGCTGGTAGGACTGATATATGAGAAATGATTGAGTTGGTTAGAACTATATTCACTGGAGTTTGGAAGAATGAGGGGGCCTCTCATAGAAACCTAAACAATTCTAACACTTCTAGACAGGTTAAATGCAAGAAGGATGTACCCAATGGTGAGGGAATCCAGAATGAGAGGTCCTGGTTTAAGGTTAAGGGGGTAAACCTTTTAGGACTAAGATGAAGAGAAATGTCTTCACCCAGAGCCTGTGCAATTCATTACCACAGAAAGTGGCTTAGGCCCAAACATCAAGTGTTTTCAAGAACGAGGTAGAAACAGTTCTTGTAGCTAAAGGGATCAAGGGATATGAGGGGAGGGCAGGATTAAGGTATTGAATTCAATGATCAGTCATGATCATATTGAATGGCAGAACAGACTTGAGGGATTGAAGAGTCTAATCCTGCTCCTATCTTCTGTTTCTTTGTTTCTAAGTTTACCTGACACTGTGGAGCTGTGGTAAGATAACTCACTTTTGTTGGCTCCCCATTACTCCAGGCAAGTGTAACATGACACATGGGCCAGTCTTCTTAAGAGTTCCCTGCAGCAACGCTCCAGTTTAAGGGAATTCTTGCTGGCAAGAAAATGTATTCATGTAGCACCTTTCACCATCTCACTAAATCTTTGCAGACAATTAAAAACATTTTAAATGTAGTCACTGGTATGATGTAGGGAAATGGGAAACTTTGGGAGGCAGTAGCCAATTTGAATACCACAAAGTTCAACAAACAATGCCTGAGAGTCACAGAGCCATACAGCATGGAAACAGGCCCTTCGGCCCCACTTACAGACCAGGTTTACAAAACTGAACTAGAATGCAATGATCGAATTAATGCGAATGATGGAAATCTGAAACAAGCACAGAGAATGGTAGAGAAACTCAGCAGGTCTGGCATCTCTGGACAGAGACACAGAGGTAACACTTCCAGTGCAGTGTCAGAACTAACCTCCAGCAATGAGACAATGTCCAGATTTTCTGCTTTTTAGTGTTGCTGGATAGACATAACTCCAGGTCACTGGTGAGAACTCCCCTGCTCTTCTTCACAGAGTGTCTCAGCATCTTTCACATCCTACTGAAAGGGAAAAGGTTACTGAGGTGGGCAGGAGGGTTGCTCAGGTTTTTGCACACTCCTTCCGTTGTTTGTGTTTCACCTCCACCTGAACCTATTGGAAATACTCAAAATAGTCGGCACCTTTCCGCAAGTTTCTCCTCCAGTTTGGGTGGTCATGGGCGAGAGATTCCCAAAAGTCGGTGGGACGTTGCATTCTTTCAGGGTAGCTTTAAGGGCTTCCTTGAGGCATTTCCTCTGCCCTGACGAAGCCAGGAGTAGAGATCCATAGAGTCATAACAGCACAGAAACAGACCCTTCGGCCCAGCCCGCCCATGCCAACCAGGTTTCCTAAACTGAAGTAGTCCCATTTGCCTGCATTTCGCCCATATGTGTTGAAACCTTTCCTATCCATGTACCTGTCCAAATGTCTTTTAAATGTTGCAATCGTGCCCACCTCTACCAATTCCTCTGGCAGGTCGTTCCATATACACACCATCCTCTGTGTGGAAAAGTTACCCCTTAGGTTCCTTTTAAGTCTTTTCCGTCTCACCTTAAACTTATGCCCTTTAGTTTTGGATGCACCTAGGGGCCTGGGAAAAGACGTTGGCTCCTCACCCTACCCATGCCCTTCATGACTTTATAAACCTCTATAATGTCACTCCTCAGTCCCTTACGCTTCAGAGAAAACACTCCCAGCCTATCCAGTCTCTTCTTATAGCACAAACCTTCCAGTCTTGGTACCAACCTTATTAATTTTTTTTTGCATTCGTTCCAGTTTAATAATATCCCTTCTATAGCACAGTGACCAGAATCGCACACAGTACTCCAAATATGGTCTTATGAATGTCTTGTACAGCTGTAACATGACGTCCCAACTCCTATACTCAATGCTCTGACCAATGAAGGCATGCGTGCCAAATGCCTTCTTCACCACCCTGTCTACCTGTGATGCAACTTTCAAGGAACTATGTACATGCACCCCAGGTTTCACTGTTCGACAACACTGCCCAGAGCCCTTCCATTAACTGTGTAAGGCCTGCCCTGGTTTGTCTCACCAAAATGCAACACATTACATTTGTCTAAACTCCAATGCCATTCCTCAGCCCATTGGGCCAGTTGATCAAGATCTTGTTGCAGTCTTGGATAACTTTCTTTATTGTCCTCTATTCTACCAATTTTAGTGTCACCCACAAACTTACAAACATGCCTCCTATATTGTCATACAAATCATTTACGTAAGTGACAAACAGCAGTGGACCCAGCACCAATCCTTGCCGCACACCGCTGGTCATAAGCCTCCAGTTTGAAAACAACTCTCTACCACCACCAAGCCAATTTTGTATCTACCTGCCTAGCTCTCCCTGAATCCCATGCGATCTATCCTTCCTAACCAGTCTACCATGTGGAATCTTGTTAAAGGCCTTGCTAAAGTCCATATAGACAGCACTGGTTTTCAAATAGTGGACTTCAGAGTGTCTCTTGTGTTAGGAGTCTAATGTCAGGCATGCAAATTATACGGTCCAGCCAACATAGCTGATTTTTTTGTTTATTATTCAATCATAGGATGTTGGTGTTGCTGGCTGGGTCAGCATTTATTGTCCATCCCTTGTTGCCTTTGAGAAGGTGATAGTGAGCTGCCTTCTTGAATTGCTGCAGTCCTTGTACTGTTTGTAGACCCACAATACTCTTAGGCAGGGAATTCCAGGGTTTTCACTCAGTAACACTGAAGGAACAGCGATGTATTTCCAAGTCAGGATGGTGAGTGGCTTGGAGGGGAGCTTGCAAAGGGTGGTGTATCCATGGATCTGCTGCCCTTGTCCTTTCTAATTGGTAGTGATCATGGGGTTAGAAGAAACTGCATGTACCCAACACCTCGATGCTGGGAATATTGAAATATATTTTGCCACTGATGTACTGCAAAGACACAAGATCAAATATGCCAGATTTCATAGGAAATCAAACATTTCAACATTGAGAAATCTCATACAAATATTGGCACACTCCAAGGGACCCACTGGAAGTATTATCCGTCAGTTGGGAATCCCATGTAAATCATGACACACTCCCAGTCATCTGCTATAAATATTGATTCACTCCCCGGGTCGCCCTTATAAAAATGCTGGAATTCAACCAGAGACAACCCCCAGCCCAACTTAACCGCTTCAAATGTTGATACAAACCCAGGCATCTGTTGCAAATGTTAACACACAGGCAGCAGTCTCATAAAACAACTGACAAACTCTCATGGACCCCTGGCAAATACTAACATGCTTCTTGGCACCAAGAGAAAGTTGACGTCACTTAGAAATCAGTACATTTTGATGAAATATTTAACATACAGAAACAGGACCTATGTGTCAGTACATTAGATAGTGAAAAGAACAAACCCCGGAGAGCTGGATAGGAAATTTGATTGCCTTCGGGACACTCTGAAGTCCACTGTTTGAAAACCAGTGCTGTAATTAAGAAACAAAAGTGTATTTTTTTGCACAGCTTAGTCTTTACTCTGGTGGCTCACAGTGTTTACTTTGTCTCAATCGTTAGACAATACAGTATCAAACTGTCGTTAATCTTTGGCTGGTCACTGTTTATTCCAAGATTCATATATAATTAACTATAGAATCTCATTGCATAGAAGGCACTGCACAGGTGCTTGCTCATTGAAAGTGTATCGAGTTAGATCTAATTCCACCCACCGCCATACCTCATCAAATCTTTCCTTTTAAACCACTGACCCAATTCTCTTATGAGTGTTACGAGTGAATTTGCTTCATTTCAGGCATCCCATTCTTGATCAAAATAACTTGCTGAGTTTAAAAGAAAAAAAATCTCCTCATCTCCACCATGTCATCATATATCAGAGAATGGTACAATGCTAAAGGAGGCCATTCAATTCATTATTGACCTTGTGAGTTCCTCGTACGAACCGTTCAATTTAGTTGCTTATTACAGCCTATGCCCTGCAACCCAACAAATTAGCCTTGCTCAAATGTCCAGTTGCCTTTCAGAAGGTTTCGAAAGGGGATCTGATTCCACCACTTTTTCAGTAGCAAGCTCCACATCTTAAGACTCTTTTGTGTGAAAAAATAAACTCTCCTTGCCTATTCTTTGGTTCTCTAGCCCATAATTTTATGTCTTTTGAGCTGTGGTTACTGACTCACACCAGAGGAAACAGGTTTTGCTGCTTGTTCTTTCGAAAACACCTCGTAACATTAAAAAAAAGCCTCCGTCTGGTTCATTTCTAATTTTGTTAAATCTTGTGGTTACCAACCCCCCTGCCAGTGGAAACAATTTCTCTTTGTTTCCTGTTATGATAGACAATTCCTCAGCGTAGATGGTGATTTTATTACAGCGATGTGGGTAATGGCAGTGTGTAGGTTCTGTTACTGGACTAACATTCCAGAGGCTGGGATAACAACC